TTGCGCCCGAGCAGTATGTGTGAGAACCGTGGAGCGAGTGTGTTGGTGTGTCTGTTTTGCCATTTTTTAAATATAGGGCGATTGTTAGGATAGGTAGCATACTTTCTGGCGTGAATGTGTTTAATTATAAGTAGGTAGGGCCGGGCAGGTTGGCACAGTCTCTGGTCGCGTGTTCCGTTTTCGCGTGTCCAACCTGTTTCAGGAAATCTAATTTGAAGAATCGACAGTGAAATTGGTACAAATGGAGTATGCCACTTGTTTCTGATTTTACTGATCGATTTTTCGAATTTAGTATCGCGGTCGCGGTCGCGGATAAGTCGCGAGTACGTCCCGAAACGAACGTTTATGTAGGTATTGCTCGAGCACGCACGTGCGAACGGACATCGATCACTATGATCGTCGATGTATATTGGGGTTAGCTTATGCAGTTTATCTATTCATTTCACATTTCACTCGAGCTAGATGTAAGTTTCAGCGGGCATTGCGCTCGAAGAATGAAGAGGCTAGAGGCCGAAGCGGCCCGGCAAACTGCCACGAAGAGGGTCACAACAAATGGCTTCTCATTCTGTGGATCATTTGAATGATTCCAAAGCATGGGATGTCATTCTCGTTACTACTTTGTCACTATGCTCTTTTAGTATTTGTAGTTATATTTTTTTTTCTTTTCCATCATCGTTCATCATCGTTTCGGGCAAATCGCGATTTTTCTTGTTAGTGTTGCGAAAAATTGATTACAGGTTGAATTAGAGTTGCGAAAAAATGATAATCGTGTTTGCTTTAGAGTTGTGAATTGTGATACCGCGATTGTTTTTTGCAATTTTGATTTGAACTTTTATAGTTGACTTAGTCTTGTACATAGTAGAATTTATTTTGCATTCGATTGTTTTAAATTAAATTACAGAGTCATTGTTTTTGATTAATTTTAAAGTACTAGAGTCTTTGAGTAGTTTTTGTTCATAGAACTTTGTATTATTCATAATAATTTTCATTAAATTCTTTCGAGATTAGTGTTGCGATATTATTTTATTGCAATTTCCAGTTACATTTCCTCTTAGTATTGCGATAATGAATGATCGTATTTCTTCCCACAAGATGCAATGTTTATTCACATATCCCATGGATTTATATTAGGTGGAATAAATTATATTTTCATTAATATAGGATTTTTTAAAATTAAATTTATAACCAAGTAGAATATATTTATTGTGATTTGTGATTAGATAGAGAACATTTAAATTAATAAGTCATTTCATTTATAATCATTTTACATACATATTGTATTATAACAAATACCATATCATATATTTGTGTATTCAAACCAATGAATGATTCTCCTTTCTCAAACGTTTCTCAATAATATCTTTTTTAAACAATATTCAATTTGAACAAATCAAAAAAAAATATGATGCAATGTGAGGTATTGAAATGGCATTTATTTTAAAAATAAATTGATCCATTTTGTATTAAAATTAAGCCTTTAATGCACATCTAAAGCCAAGATTTCCAGCTGTTGTGTCTGGAGTATTTTGGCTCCGAGCAGCGCATCTGTATCGAAAACAGTAACTCTTGTGACAAAGATAAGAACCGCCTTTCTTTACTTTGTCTGTACTGTGAGGTGGACCATTCTGAAAGTAGTTTCGTATTATAAAGTTGTTGTAAAAAAAAAAATTTTAAAATAAAGAAAAATATATTGAGAACATATATACAGGATTATTAGGCCCGCCACGTGCTTTGGTTTCAATTGTCCACCAATCAGATGTCCATTCCCAAACATTCCCTATCATATTACGTAACCCGTAATTATTTGGCGCGAATTCTGTAACGGGCGATGTGCTTTCGTATCCATCTTCCTTGGTATTATTATTTGGAAAATCACCTTGCCACGTATTCGCTCTGAAAATTATTTTAATTAAATAGAATTAAATTTTAAATAATTTTTTATAAAAAATTATTCACCTATGTTGACCATTCGGAGTAAATTTATTCCCCCATGGATATAGTTTATCCGACAGTCCTCCCCGACATGCAACTTCCCATTCGGCTTCCGTAGGTAATCTTTTTCCTAACCATTCGCAATAGGCAGTGGCATCATTCCACGACACATGAACAACAGGGTGATCCATTCTGTCTAAATTATTCAATTTTACTTTCTTTTGTCTCCAATTTCAAACAACCGGAAAAATAAAATGGAGTAAACATACTCTTTATATCAGAATTAGGACCCTCTGGATTTTGCCAGTTTGCATTTTTTACTTGTAACCACCAAGGCGCTTGAGCAACTGCGTGCGTTATGTTCGCTCGAATTTTTTCTTCTAACAAACCTCCAAATACGAATGAATCTCCAAATTTTTCGGCTTCTGTTCGATGATTAGTCGCGTGAACAAATCTTCCAAAATCACGATTGCTCACTTCCATCTCGTCTATGTAAAAACTATCTAGATAAATTTGTTGTTTCGGTCCTTCGCCGTCAGCGACGAATACAGGATCGTTTGTACCGATTGTGAAAGTGCCCGCCTTTATCTTGACCATGTTTTTTAAACGACCTATGCGATTCGTAGCAGTATGTTCGTAAGTATGAAGTGGATCATTTGCTAAACAATAATCATCTGCTTCATTCTCGTAGAGATTCTCTGTGGTAGTGCTTTGTCTGCTATGGCTGCAACCACCACAGTGAGAAGATTCTTTACTTGAATCATCTGTTTTAGAACTTACCGCTACGGTACACAATGCAATAATTGTGAAAAAAGACAATATTGCTGATTTTTGACACTTTATGCTCGTCAAACCTTTCATTTTACGATGTAAGAAAATTGATACATATAAAATTAATAAATTGATTTAATTTGGCTGGTAGTTGTAGGAAACAAATACCTATAAATTCGTGGTTCATGAAATGTTCTGATCAATGATAAAACTTGTCATCTTGAAGAAACACGCACACATAAATTAATAATGATGTGATAACCTCGAATCTCTATATTCGTTGTAGTAAGAAAACTGAAAATCCCTAGTTAGCTTAAATTAATTTTCATCTATTAGTTGGTAATATTTCAACCATGGAGCGAGAATAATCATAGGGAAATCGATATCTCTTTTTCATCGATACATCGATTCCTCGGTATCGATGTGCAATATGTATATGTGTAATATGTACGTGGAACATAACCTATCATGAAATGCCACGTACTGTTTATCTGTAATTTACGTACGTAGAATGTCTCGAAGATTTTTTCATTTATCGTGACAGTGGCTTATAACCAAAATAGTAACAGTATAATAGAATTGTTTAGTTCAATATATCATCGTTATATACTACATATAGCTACAATGGCTTCCTCAAGACGTTTCAAACTGTTGTTTTATTCTCTCGGCATTTTTGTATGTTATTTTCATTTTGGCATGTTGCAAGAGAAGATTACACGAGGACAATACGGAGATGAAAAAAGCAGTGAAAAGTTTACGTATATGTTTACGTTAGTTTTCTTCCAGTGTCTAATTAATTATTTATTTGCTAAGACTAGTTTACTAACGATTATGAAACAGGGCGAGGATACTACTCCAAAAACTTATTATGCACTCTCTGCCCTCACTTATTTACTTGCCATGGTATGCAGTAACATGGCATTACAATTTGTCAGTTATCCAACACAAGTGATTGGAAAAGCTGGTAAACCGATTCCTGTGATGATACTTGGTGTACTACTGGGGAACAAGGTATTTTGCTTTGCCTTTTGATTTATGTATCATTCACAAATTTTGTAATGTTTGCCAATTTTAATTTCTCTTTTCTTTTATATTATTATTTTCAAAGAAGATTCTTAGAATCTATATCTTATATATACATATGTATAGGTTTTTCGCATTCAGACAATATATTCGTAATTTATAACAATGGAACGCATTATCTTCCAGGTTTATCCAATTAGGAAGTACTTGTTTGTATTCTTAATAGTCATTGGCGTAGCTTTATTTATGTACAAAGACGTGAATCCATTGAAAAAACATTCCGAGGGACAAACAGGCTTTGGAGAACTATTGTTATTACTTTCATTAACAATGGATGGTCTAACTAGCGCTGTACAAGAAAGAATGAGATCTGAACACAATCCCAAATCTGGCCATATGATGTTGAATATGAATGGCTGGTCTGTGATGTTTAGTGGCATTGTCATCCTTGTCTCTGGAGAGCTTGTAGAATTTATTCAGTTCTTACAGAGATACCCTTTTACTATATGGCATATAACTACCTTTTCTATAGCAGGAGCGTTTGGACAATACTTCATATTTCTCACCGTTGCAGAATTTGGTCCATTACCATGTTCTATTATAACAACGACTAGAAAATTCTTTACAGTCTTAGGTTCAATACTTATCTTTGGTAATAGTTTGACCTCTAGGCAATGGTTAGGTACGTTTATAGTATTTTCGGGGCTGTTTCTAGATGCTATGTACGGTAAAGACAAGTCTCCTAGAAAAGATGTAACGAAGTAGCAAATGAACGTGGGCACGTTACCTGAGAGATCTTAACTCTTTAAATAGAGGGTGATTTCTTATTTTGAAACTTATTTGTGCTGTTGGTCGCGTTATGGTGAAATTTAAGCTTAAGAACGTCACACCATAAACAATTATGTGTACTGTCTTCGGCTTCCTATCCTTTAATTTCGCTATCGGCGTTTACAAATATATACACGTACAAATTCTTTTTTTACGGATATATACAGTAACAGCTATATGCTAACATATACTTTATAGAATAACGTTAAAACCTTACGTATTACTGCATAGCAATGTCTGTGGTTTATTTTCAAGTTGTTATTCTGCTATACATATTTTTATTATTTTTATAATGACTGAATGTATGAGAGTACGTAACATCGAATTTAATTTTATTCACTGTATGTAAGTGTATGGCTACCACTGTATATCATACACGTGTGTGTGATGCGCGTATGTATTAACCAATCAAAATAACATACATTTGTACGCATAACGTTCCACATATACTTCCTTCGTTTTATATCTCTGTGGCAGTTTCATTCGAATATCTGACACAAGTTCTTTTCCCGAATCATATCATACGTAAGCGCCATATACGGGAAAAGAATGTGGACGGTATCATGGCAATGTACATGATAAAAAAAAAATCGATTATTATATATGTAATAAAGAGAAACTACAATCATTCGATACATGATTTGTTTATTTTCCCTACTTTGCTATTATTTTGTCTCTGATTGAAATATCTTTATCAAATCAACAACAATTTACATACAGAGCAACATATTTACATATAGCAATATATATATTTTACCATATGCCAAGTTAACTGAAATGAAGTGAATAAATAAATTTAGTTGAAAATTTAGTTTAAATGAACATTTAGTTTAAAAATTAACTTGCGCATATGTTACGCGCAAAATGGATTTTTTTTCGATCCGATTCCGTTGTTGTTATCGACATTGACGACAACGCCGACGATGGTTAAATAGATAATAACAATGTCTGAATGAGCTTTAGGAAGGGAGCGTAATCAGTTAAACGTAATGTATCATAAATGCGCAGACCGCTTCTCAAAAAGTAGTTTAACGTATTTCAGCAAACAACACGCATATATATGTACTTAGATCAGAAGTGAATACCCGAAGATTAAATGAAGCGCGAAATGCATATACTTTTATTGAAAAGTTGTACGTATATTGCTGTATTATCGATATGGTTACCGGTTACTTACGCGCGTCTTGCAAACGGTAAGTCACTTACAATCACAGTGAATTTAACGCATGTGTTGTCAGTTTGATCGACATGTGCGTTATAATTTCCTTCATGGTCTCGCAGTATTTGTGTATAAAATTTGTCTGCTTTACAAACATCGACTCATCAATGGAGATGAACAGCACGTAATTCAAAAACGGACACGATGGGAATTTTCCAATAGTATCGATTCTCTCGATGTCTCATTAGCGCGCTCGAATATTTAAATTGGTACAAGAGTGCCAATTCTAGACTAAAAATTTTCGGGGAATTTCGCAGACCTTTGTCTTGTTTCTCATTCGTGTTTGAAAAAAACCATGTTTTACCTGGAGAAAGAGAAAGAAATATTTCGCTTGTAGAATCGTTCCCGATTGTCTTGCCAAACGATGTCGAAGTGCGCGACATGAATCAACTGATACTGACTACGAGAAACAGAGTAGAAACGAAGCAAATAACGACAAACGACGAAGAAGAATCTGATAGAAACGAAATGAAGGAAAACGAGAGAACAATGAACTGCACAGATCGTTCTATAGACGATTTCCCGCAGGATCTGTTCACGTACGAAGAACGTCGTCACGGAGCGGTAGTGTTACACGTTTTTCTTGGATTATATTGCTTCCTATTGACGGCGTTCGTTTGCCATGATTATCTAATACCTGCTGTCGATCGCATATGCGTTAGCATGAATATAAGCACCGACGTAGCTGGAGCGACGTTTCTCGCAATGACCAGTTCCTTTCCCGAATTATTTGTGAACGTAATTGGTACTTTTCTAACGGAGTCAGATCTTGGTGTTGGCACCGTGGTCGGTAGCGCGGTATTCGACACGTTTGCAACTCCGGCTTGCGGAGCGTTGACTGCTTTTTCCGTAAGTACACACGTACATGTGTAATATAACATATTATCATAGTATCCTCGATACTATGCGGTGGGACTCCGTTTATGTGGATTCTATTTATTTGACCAGAATTTCAATCGATGCTCGATTAAATGAATTGTGCTTATTTGAAGCTAAACTTCCATCGTATGAACGAAAACTCACTAATAGAAAGAAAAATCAATGGAATTTTAGCTTGTACTTATAAATGGAGTTTTATCGTACTTTTATCTGTATAGTTCAAAATAATTGTCAAATGATTACGAAAAATAAACGATAACTAAATATGAAGTGGTTCGTATATATATACAACATACGTATAAAACAGACGAAAAAGTCTCTTATAACTGGGCATATAACCAGGTAAATCGATTATCTCGTCCATTTGATTTTCTCGTCACAATACAGAGTTTCAGATAAAAGACGATAAGCATCCCGTTTAAGTATATTTAGATCGATCGTATCGAATATCTATCTTGTCTGTTTATCTTCCATTGACCTTGTTAACGTTGTATTGTACATTTATTTCTTTTATAATTCTCATGTATCTCTACACCTGGAAATCAGAAGTGTCTGAAAACGATCATTTTCAATCCAATTTCTATTTGTTTCTTGTTCTTTTCAATTTAGGCGATTTCCTTAGAATGGCGAATATTATCGCGAGATTGCACAATGTACGTGATATCTGTTGGAACATTGGTAGCAATAATGTGGGATCAACGGATTAAATGGTACGAAGCGATGATATTGTTAATATTGTTCTGCATTTACCTAATTTTGCTGTTTTGTGGCAAAGGTATTAGATTATGTTGCGGTACAATCTTTCCCTCTAATTCCGAATCAACGACGGAGTGTAAGTAACAATTTTCCAGTAATTCGTTCCTTTTGTTTGTTTCGGAAAAATAATAATTCGTTGCGATTATAGTCTCTAACGTTGATGAGAAATTGCCCCGCAATGGCTCGTATAAACTGCGCGCTTTGGATAATGTTGTTTATAATTCTAATTTGGAAAGTCAGCAACAAGGTGGAATAGGCGATCTTAAAAATACCGAGAAATTAGAGAGTCGTTCTGTTTCTGGTATGTATCTAGATATGTGTGTATACTGGCGAAAAAATTTGGATACACGTTCTGTTTGTGATTTATATATAATGAAAATCAAAAGAGTACATATCTAATAAAAATAAGATTCATACAATATTATTAAGACCGAGGTAATACTATGGCAGTATATAACATTCAAACATGTGTAAAGATACATACAAAAAACCTATAAAACTAAATGCAACAAATGCAATTTAAAATAAATACCATCAATATGAATATTATAATTTGGGATAGCATGACAGTCCTTGGAGATTGAGAATTATTAAAAAGTTAATTTTTAGCAATAATACTACGAACAGATTTGGATATTCACATATCTTAAAATTGAATTTAGTTGTAAGTGTTATTAAGTTTAGTTATGGATTCATGAATCTTTTAACAAGATCGAAATCTAAAACATACAGCGAAAGCAATTAATTGCTATAGAACACTTCAAATTATTAAATCCTCCATCATAGTCTGCAGATCTTAAAGTTAAACTAAGTATCCAAGCTTTTAGCTGTCGCTGCATACATATGTGTTGTATTCGTATAATATTTCGAATTAAATAAAAAGTTAGATATCAACGTGTACGTACATATTGTTTCTTTGTATTTATTTGCAGAATATTTATTTACTTGGCCAAGGGAACGAACTGTGATCGCAAAATGTTGGTTCCTGTTTTGCTGGCCATTGAAATTTTTGCTATACATAACGATACCAGATGCCAGGATAGAACGATTAAAACATTGGTATCCACTGACGTTTATCATGTGTCTGATTTGGGTCGGTATATCTTCTTATTTAGTCTCTTGGATGACGACGGTTGTCGGTGATACCATAGGTATTCCTGATTCTATTATGGGTCTTACATTTCTGGCAGCTGGTGGAAATATGCCGGAAATTGCATCCATCGTAATTTTAGCCAGACAAGGTAATAAACTCGATTTTCTTTTATTTCTCTTCTATCAAAATTTCTTATCTGTTATATTGTTAAAAATACGTATGTGTCGTACATACGTAAATCGTTGCTAATTGAACAAATGATTGAAAATTGAACGAATTAAATAACGTTTCGTATATATCTAGGGGACGGAAACATGGCGATGAGCAACACGTTAGGAGCAAATATTCTTGATATTTTGCTTTGCTTGGGCTTACCGTGGATGATAAAATGTCTAATGAGAGGAGAAGACGTAGAGATCATATCAGGATCTATATCCTACAGTGTACTTTCAACTGTTGTTTGCATAGTGATTCTCTACGTAGTTATAGCATTTTCCAATTTTAAATTGAACAAACAAGTGGGAATCATATGTCTGTTGGTATACACGATATTTTTAATATTCGCTATTCTCGTGGAACTGAACGTTTTCTATTTGGTGAATTTACCAATGTGCGATGATTAATTCTCTTCGCATGCACAGTTCGTGTAATATTTTTTTGCCCGTTCTCCGTGCTATAGGATTCTAATCGTTAATCTCACAAATCTCATTAATCTCGACAATTTTATTAATTTTGTTAATGGAAAAGGAGAAACAATTTCCTAAAAATTCAAATATCATCTATTCATTTCCTTCACGTGTATTAAAGACGTTATATGTAGAATACTTACGAGACTATCGTAAATCCGTCAATGATAGCAAAGCTAACGATTAAAGATCGAAGCTGCGACAGACAGTGAAAATTGAAACAAAAAAAAAAAAAAAAAGAAACAATATAGATACGACGAACAACAAATATATACTTAAATATGTGTTTATGATATTAACTCATCACAAAGCGGAATATTTCGTGAGTAATATCTACCACACGCGCAATAATCCGCGACTAGTGACTAAGTTTTATATTTATATAAAATATAAGTGTGAATTAAGTGTAATTTACCGGTAAACTGTGTAGTAAGCTGAATTACTGTAATATAAAAAAAGAAAATGGTTCAGTTAAAAAGTGAATAGTTTCAAAGATGTAATTCGTAATAAGTTCGATGTAATTGATTTTTTTGTGGGTAGACGCATAAGCATTTTTTTAAATGGTACCAATGTATAATTGCTGATCGACGCAGTTAATTATTTCCTATAATTGTATGAATCTATTTATGTCGAAAAACTAATAGTTTAATAGATATTTTAATTTTTAACTAAAGATAATTTGATCATAAGAGATTTTCTATGGATTTTATAAAATCTCTAATCAATTATCCATACAAGACTTAATACTCTTTTTTCATAAAGAATATATAATTTTTATCTGAACCGTTTTTTTATATCGCAGGTAATTTGCATTTGTAGATTATAACCGGTCGTGCTTTGTTTTATACTCTGATGTAATCAGTTAGTATTAAAGGATAGTAAATATTTAAATCTGAATTAATTATGAATGATTTTGTATACTATGTACATACGTACATATGTTGACAACGTGTAATTTAAATCGTGACGTGAATGGATTAAAATTCGATGGAGGAGAATAAGGAAAATAGGAAGCTCAAAGCTGAAGCGAGGATCGAGTGTGATAGCTACGAGTTACCTACGTTAATCAATAGTGAGATGTATATTTTTAATAAAGAATAATTTATTTTTCGCATCCGCGGTGAATGAATTCGACGAAAGGAAAATATGTCGGTAATCGGTCGAGCAATGCGTTAATTGACGCATTCTTGTGTACACATGGCGATACAGTTGGTTCTTGTATTATAACTTGCAGGTATTGATAAAACGCGCGTACGTTCGCAACGTTATTGATGAAACGCACACGCACGCACATGCACACGCATATAAACACATGCACGTACGCATAAAGCTATACTATACTATATGTATATTACACAATAGTATAGTATGGACGATAGATATAACGAGACGAAGGAAGGTGCAATGGAATAATGCATAGGATAACGTGTTTCTTTTATTTATAATCCTTTCAAAATAGTCCCCTAAATACTTAATACATTGCTTAGAACGTTCGTATAAGTTTTCGAAAGACTTTGAGAAAATGTTCCATCTTGTGAAAATGTGAGTGTATGTGAGTGTGTGTTACATATCTCTTCGAAACGTTAAATTATTTGTTGAATGAAACGCCGCGCTGTTTTCGTTTTTTTTTTTTTTTCTTTTTCGTTTCACAGATTCACAATCGTAGTCTCGGGGAAAAGAAGAAAGAAGTCGGCAGAAGGAAAGTAGAAGACAGATCGAAGAAACAGTGACCATCCGAACCCCTCTTGGCCCCTAGGATTTTAGGGTTTTCGACGTTGAGAAGAAATATTTTGAAAAAATGTTCGCGTATTCACGCGGAGGACAAGTTATGTACATATTATACGTGACTGGTGAATGCCAGTTTGGTGAAATTCTCGTGCACGTTATTATTATTTCTTTTTATTGACAAAATAGTTGACGAAATAGTACTACGTTCGTATTGAACACTTTTATTCGAAATCGATCTCATTGTACCACGTCGCTTGTATTCATTGGATCAATGTAGAAACATAGATAGGTAGATGCGTACACGTGTTATCGACAATTTAAAAAGATCTGGCTCTCTTTTCATATCAGTGATTAGAATTATGCAACACGTATATGACATACATATACGTATGTATATTACCTACTATATACATGTGTTCTACTCGCTTAATCCGACTGCTTAACCGGCTGTCGCGATTCTATTATATATAGCCGAGTTTGATACAATTCGATTCGATTATGCGTTCTTGGTCGTCCTTATTGCTCGTCGATTAAATCACTTTATGGACATTGTCCACAACGAATCGGAGCCCCAATCGATTTAATCACAGTTGGATCGATCGTTCGTTGATTAACACAATTCCTTATACTTCTGCGGGTCCCGATTGAACGGTAACAATCAGCCGCGTAAACGAAGATAATTCAATAACGTGTATACTATTTGAACTGGATAAGATAACGGATGAGAGATCGACTATATGTACTATATACATGTATGCGTAAATACGCATGTGCAAGAACATATGCGCATGGAATCCGTTCCGAGTGTTCGCGTTTTTGATCCTCAATGCCGGCTCAATAATAACAGTGTCGTAATTCTTCCTATCGATTTCTGGTACACATTCTCTACCTATCTATCTACAAATAGCGCGTAAATAATACCCTTAAAATCGTTTACATTTTTGAAAACGGGAAACAACCTCGGACACCAATCTCCTCGATTCGTTCAAACGAACGACTAAAATAACCAACGAACAATCTTGATTCGAACGTAACGCGATCAAACGTTCAATGAAAAGCATCTGCAAACGATCAAGATTGTCTCATCCATTTGACATTAGCATCGTCGTCTTCGCTTATATCGCTCGTGCTCTCCGACCTTTTTCTTTACCCGTCCTTCCTTTTTCTTCTCTCCCCTTTTCTTTTTCTCTCCGCCCCTTCCGCATCTTCTTTCACCCTTCACCCCCTCCCCCCTCCCCCCTCCCTTCAGCCGCTCTTTTCCGTCTTCTTTCCGAACCACGTCAATTATCATCGATTATGCAAGGGATTGTTCGCGCGGAACACAGTTGAGGCATTTCACACGTTTTAACGATCATTCGCATCGTGGCTCATTGTTTCGATTCGCGGCAAAACGCTCGACGTTTTGGCAGTTTGATATCATTCTGTCGATTCGAGTTTTTTTCATAACCGCGTTTTTAGGTTGCCTAATCGCCGCGTCCTCGAGATCGCGGCCAATCGAATACGTATAGTACATATTTGCACGCCTCTGTATTTTACATTTGCTCGTGTTATCGAGTTGTTGTTGTTGTTGTTATTATTATTATTATTATTATTATTATATATTATATATTATATAACAATATATTACGTTTCGATAAAAATTTCTGTGGAAAATATAGATCATAACCTGGATGAAAAATCGCTAAATAATTAGCGTAATCGGCAAAAGCGTAGCCAGCATTGCGATCGGTATTCGATCGTTATCATTTGTAATTATCGATAGTTAATCGCGTAGCTACCGAACCGATCCCACCAACGAGTTTGCTGTGTTACTCCCTGTGTTATCCGAACGTACAACGCAGGTATTTACATTCGGATATGCTTATGTATCTACTTATTATGTACCCGAATACACGCCAGGGATCAAAGAGAGTCGCTAAACAGCAACGTAATCGTAACAGTTAATAATGATTTTACTATGTACAATCGGCAACGGTCGATGCTTCCTGTAGCTTCTCATCGTTCCCCATGTTTGTCCCGAAGTTTGATCACTTATTCGAATATCAGTGGAAATCTTCACTTGGAAATCGTCTCCTTTCCTTCTCTCTTCCCTCTCCGCCGTTCGCTCAATTCCCTCTCGCTGATTTATTGTTATTTATTACTTTACGATACTGTACCTCCCTCCGGATATACACACGGATCGTTCGTCTTCACAGGATTGTTCAACATTACCCGGCACGTAACTGACATTGTGTGTAATTTGCAAACGATCTTGCTAATTCTACGAGGCATCGCGCTGTGTCGCGCCGTTAGGACGGTTTTCATATCATAGGACAACTAAACGCGAAAGAAACGTATTGCTCTAATGTACGTACAAGAGACAGCAGATAGTCGAACGAATCCAACGAAATAAGCGTACAGCGGAAACCGTGGTTTTCCCGCGCATATATGTACCTAACAGACCTCTTCGTCTTGAGCTCTTTCGTCCTTGTCGCGCGCGTCCTCTTTCTTCGCTCGCTTCGGTATCGCGTAATTATGTATTTCTCTTCTTCCTGCGCTCACCGCCGTTCGTATTCTCTCATACCCCTATCTATCCAAGTACTTATGTACATACTTATCTAACTACTTACCTTAACTACCTACGTCTACCTACTTACATATCTACCCGCCTATGTCATTTACCTATCCTACGTAGCCGTTCGTTTTGAGTTCGGTTAACTAGCAAAATCGCTAGTTAACAAACCTGAGCTAGCGTTGACCATCTGCGACTACGAACGGCATGGCAAGAATCATTTTACGCTTATACGCTTGACGCCGTATGAAGAATCAGATAGATCAGTGATACACACGTTCGGAAACTATAATCAATCGTATTATGCGTGCGTGCGTGCGTGCGTGAATGCGTGCGTGGATCTGTATGTTGATGAGCGCGAATCCCGACGCGTTTCACACGGTACCATCTCATATTGGTTCGTTCAGTTATTGTATGTACACCGGAATAGAGGATGAAAGGATGAGAAACGGTACAACAGAATCTTCTTGGAAGCAGAAAGAAGTAGCCGGAAGCGACAATACAGCGTTACATAGTCGTAATAAAGACGCTACCAATAAACACGATAATTCTAATTTCGAATGAACACCTGGCACAGCTGAATTGCGGATAATAATGGTTCGATTCGTAGAAAACTCGTGTTCGATCGTTTTTCGTTTTTTTTCCCTCGAAACGAAAGTTTTACGCAAAGAAATGTTCCAATGTCGCTTGTTGAATCTCGTTCTCTCCCGCGTAACGTCTCAAATTACCTCTGTCCAAAGGAAAATGGCGAAAAGGATGCTCCGCACGTACGGAAAGTGAAAATCGTGTCTGTAATTGATTCGTGAACATCTATCGTGAAATATCGAACGTAATCACGGTGATAACCGCAATCGCAATCGCAATCGTAACCGTAACCGTAACTCGTAGTAGTATTGTCGTCGATTCATTCTCACGTGAATAATTTCTTCGCCACGGTGCGAACCGTGCGAACCGTGCACCAAGTACCTTGTTCGAATGTTTCTTTTTCTCGCTTAATCTTGTGTGATTTCGTTTGGCATTCGTTCCGTCTACCAGCGTTCGTCTTTGGAACTCGGCTCCGATCGATCCATTCTCATTCGATTGCCAAGATCAAACACACAGAGTGCGTGAATTTTTACGTAAACGTGTCAACATGGTTCTCATTGTATCTCGCAAAACGGTAGTTTGCCGGTCAACTCTTTCGTCTGCTCTTGATCTTGGCTGTTGGCGCCCTCGCTTTTCGGGCTGCCTCCGTCTTCTAAGGAGCCCCCACCACTCCCGTGGGGGCAAATTGATTGTCATCTAAGCGCCAACGTTGATATCATCGGAGGTCGCGACGGTTTGTTATCGAGAATTCTTTCGATCTCGCTCATAATATTGGCGTTCAATTTTGGAATTAGCTGCAACGACACAACGTTTTATAATCGTGTCCCCAGTCCCGTTCGCGGTCATCGAAGACGAGGTTCGAGTAGGAGTGTGCGAGAATCCGAAAATAGATGGACGGGTCGATTCTTCCGACGCAAAGTATCGCGTTTGACGTTTTTCAAGTACACGCTATCTCCAAACATTTTCAATATAAACGAAACGTTTTCACGTCTATCTTAGCTATCGATGCAATTTAAAATATCGATAAAATTACAAAATCCGTAATATTTCATACATTTTACACCTTGACCGTGCTTCGTTCTTCAACAAAAAAAAAAAAAAAAGAGATAAGATTATATTTTTGTATTTTTTAAACGTTTGGAAAGACCCAGCTTCGCTCATTTAAGGTCGATAAATCGATTAACTCCATAAAACAAAAAAGTAGAGAAATTGATGAAATAATACGTGTACTTCCATTCTCTTCTAAAAACTCAGTTGAAGTAATCTAATTTCATATCATTCAATACATTTTTTCAACGGCTATTTTATTCCAATATTCCGGATTTGTATGAATTATTAATTTTAGAATCCAAAGATTAGAACGGAGTTATTACAATTTCTTTTAAAAAATATTAAATTTGAATAAAATGAAAAATGTCTTCAATTTCCTCCAAATGTTAAATTTATCTTTGTAAAAATCTTCAAGGCACTTTTTCCAAATTATTCACATGAAAAAATATTCTGACTGAAAGATCAATGTCACAATAATAAACGAATGTCCTCAACATACGTGAATTTTTTTTTCTTTAATATAACTATCATTAACGATTAATGGGTAGTATCAGAACATCGAAATGGAACTTTGAGAAAACGATATTTCATACGCGCCGCTCTATTAGGTGTACAAATTAATCATAAATTTATTATTTACAAAAGGTCAAAAATGCATTTTAGTCTAGAAAATAATTTCCATCAATTTGTTTACATTCGAATTCCTTTTCTAAAAAGAGATAGCACTTTTTCCTTCAAGAACTCAATACTGATTCATCAACCCTCTTCAAACCTTCAATGCTTCTGTTCTCGCACAGCCCTAGTTTCGAACTATGTCAAATTTTACTATTGAAAATAATTACCTGTAAACTTTGAAGACTCTCGTACAATTGATCTATGTTTGATGCACCGAGGAGAAGGCACTGAACACTTTCATTCTTTAAAGACCACGCGATAGCCAACTGTCCGAATGAGCAACCGAGTCGTTCGGCGAGTGCACACACGTCTCGCAATTTATCTGAATATTTTCGTGTCTCGTCATCAGTTGACTTTTCCTTCCAGCCGTATTCCTGCTGAAACAAAGATAGAATAGAACACGATAACACACGTTAACGTTTATTTCCTCCACTAACTTTTATACGAGTACGCTTGTTGCGCAGAAACATAAACAGCATATACCAATTCGATATACCACGATATACCAATTCAAATACGTACTTCTTTATATAAAGATTGCGTTTCGTCTTCGGTCCAACTGAACGACGAATACTTATTCTGAAATGGAAAAGTTGAACGTTGCGATTATTATTATTTTGACAACGGTATAGATATTTGCGTATTTGCCGTCTCTAGTATTGTACCGACAGTTAAAAGATTTCTTCTGGATAATGTAGCAAAAGGAATGACTGGAAAACGAGGTGATCGATTTTGAAACTGAATTTGATATCAACTGATAACTGATGACGTCGATACCGAAGTGAAGTTAAGCTAACAGTTAATTTATGAGATATAAGAGGCCAAAGAAGTCAGTATGTAAGCTTCGAAGTACGAAGCTTTTATGTTGATCAGACAATTTAAAAAATTGTCTATTTTAATTGTAAAATTGTTGAAAAAATTTTTTAAATTTTAAAAATTGTTCTCGAGTTTTGCCAAGTGTTAACGATGACTTTAAACGCATATCTCAATTCAAACTCAAATTGAAAAACTATCATTTAATGTCAAATTCTGTTTCAAAATCGAAAGACCAGAAACAGACGTCTCATTTTTCAATCATTCCTTTCGTGCTCATTTTCAGACGATTTTTTCGCTCATTATTTTTCCCTTCTGGATAATTAATTACCTTATATGAAGATCTCGATAAAAAAGAGACACCACAGTCTTCTGGTTTCGAGGAAACCATACCGATCGTAACCGTGGACCACGCCATCAGGCCAACACCTACGATTTAAAAACAATTTCTTTCAATATCGTTAAGAAATACACAGGTATTACATATTATGTTGTGAAAATTGAGCATTTGACAATTAAATACCGATTTTATTGTACAACTCTGGCATATAAAGTTCCGGTTTTTCTCTGTAAAATAGATGATACTCGGCTTGTTCCACGATCGGTGTGACGCAGTTAAATTGACGGCAATTCGTGTAAGCTTCCATAATTTCGACAGGTGTCCAACGAGACGTTCCCCAATACATTACCCATCCTTTACTTATCACGTAATTCATAGCACGTACTATTTCTGAAAAAGAAAAAAGAAACGAAATGGTTTCGACGTATCTGAAACGACGTGTTAATCGTGTCGGAATTAAGAAACGAACCTTCCATAGGACACATTGGATCTACTTTATGGATCATTACAATATCGATGTACGATAGTTGTAACCTGACCAAGGACGCTTGCACCGATTCGATTATGTGCTTCCGTGACAATCCGCGACCCTCTGCCCTGCGATCAAATTTTATAACGTCACACGTTTGATTTACGTACATTTTTGACCATTTTTATATTTATATTTATATGAAGCGAAATTAATCAGCTATCATTAATCAGGTAAAAAGAATTTTGATTATAATAACTAGACTGCGGATTTAAATTTTTGCGTGTAAAGAAATAGAATTTAGATAATCGAATATAATTATACCATTCTTTGAATATTTTTACACAATGAATGCATTGCGTGCATTTTTGTGTCTGGAAAATAGATACATAAAAATTCGCAGTTTAATAATAACTGAAGAAATTGCTTCACTTAATAAACGTCGTAATATACACGTCGATGAAGCAAAATCTCTTTACTTATTTATTAAACAGACAATAAGTCTGTAAGGTGAACATGGAATACACAAGTACGATTCATCGTTGTCAGAGAACAGAAAATCTCTCTTTAGTTCTTTAGTAAAGAATTTTTATCATAATCGAAGAATCGAAGCTGAAGAGACTATTTTTCAGTAAAGTATAATCGTTCGTTTTGAATGAAATAAATCTCTTTAGTTAGCTAAAAAGAACCATTATCATAATTGAAGAAATGACCTTATAAATTTCGATCGACACTTGAACCGCTTATTTGTTGAATCGATTTTTTTATACAAGCTTAAAGTTTAAATCAATTCGAAACTCGATGGATACTCACTTCGTGTTCCAATATATCTTGGTGGTAACGACGTAACTCGAACGATTCCAAGCACGACGTAATAAAATTCGTCCAAATTGAATTTCTGCTCTATGACCACTATGAGCTTCGCTCAGATCGAACACATTTATTCCACTGTCGTAGGCGAGGGCAACCACAGCTTCGGCTGTTTCCTCGTTACTGCAACCTCCTATGCCGAAAGTTGTCCATGTACCTACATGTATAAAGCAACTCTAATAACTCATTTGTTTTGATGAATACGGTATATGTTAGTTCAATTTTTTTCACTGTTCTCAAGTACAGTACTGCGACATTTCTACGTCCTATTGAATATCGTATGGCAACAAAAATCGTCAATTGGTCAGTCAATCAATGCGACAATATACGGCTAGCTGTCTTAATATCGAATGAATCTATAACGATCCATAACAATTAATTTCTAAGATGTTAAATCCACGATACAGATGTTTTTTAGATGTAACAAAAAAACAAATTTGCTTAAATTCCAAATAACGCGACCGACAAATATTGACCACGCATTGCCAATTTGGACATGATCATAGAATTTTGCTCCAGTTGTTTCTTGACGACAATTTCTTGTCGCCGTACGACATTCAATTAGAACATAGGCTTACAAGCAAGCTGCGTATACACGGTTCGATAATCGATCCTAAAATATCGTGCATACCTACTTACCTGTTTTCACTCCTATTATCGTTCTTATCATTATCATCGTCATCATAATCATCATCATCACCATCGTAATCCATAAGAATACGGTTTATCGAAAAATTGCGAATTATTGGTCTCGTATACAGTGGTCTCTCTTTCTCCCTTCTCATTCTTTCTCTTTCGTTTTCGTTTCTCTCTGTCTTATTCGTCCATATACAAGGTATACATTAATTCCGAAAGCTCGTACATTCAACAAGCTGTCTGAATGTGATGTTACGTTAAATCTTCAAATAACATTTTTCGTCGTATTTTACAAAAACATCTTTAAATTAAAGAGATGCAAAATCCTCCGAGACATTTATAATTTTGGAAGGCACAGCTTTCAATTGATACAACATCAACGACGACGGCGACCACGACGACAACGAACACGACAAGCACGATGATCACGACAAAAGTAGCGTAAAAGTTATTTGAATAAGAACATTGCTACATTACCTCCTGTTTCTTGGTCTATCTGTTAGATAGTTTATATTACTATTTTATATACTATGTACTTTGCTACAAAACTCTAGATGAAAAGCTTGCATGCTCACATCGATGGATAAAGCACATATGAAGATTACAAGTATTTACTATGCGAAATAATGGAAAAGAAGAAAGAAGAATAGAAACGTGAAGTACAGCAGAAATAAGGAAGGATAAAAAAATGATGAGAAATCGTGGATAAAGAAAAACCACAGTTTTCATTGTTTACTATTTTTTTATAACTTGAAAATGTATAGTCAATATACTATTGACAAACTAGAGGAAGAGATGATAATATGGCTCCTTCAGTTCTTAATTCCCCCTTAGAAGGAATTTTAAACTTTTGATTTTGAAACTGACCTCAAAATTTGGACAAACCATTAAGATTACACTTGCCAAAAGGTCGAAGCAAAAGAAAAGCAAAGTTGAATGGGATTTCTAAAAATACGTATTTGTAGGAATTTGAACAAAGATGAGGATAATACGTCCTCCCAACAGAAATTCCTTGGTCATCAAAAATCTAATTCTATTCTTTTCAAAACTCTATGTTTTATTAAACCTGCAATTATGAAGAAGAAGCTTGTAATTTAATAACTAGTAAATCCCGTTGGACTGGCAGAACGTTCGGATACAGAAGATTCTACTGTACCTCAGAAACACTTTCGTTTTGCAAGCTGGTTTACTTGTGCTCAGCAACAATTTCGTAGCATCCAGCAAAAAACGTCTTTCCTTGTATCTACAGTTAATTAGAAAGAACGTGACACACATTTACCTTCAACTGTTTTTTGCCGCTAATATGTAAATCGCGAGGGGGCCATAATATCACCCTCCGTGCTATTGTCTCAGAGTGAAGGTGTGTACTCTAAAGCGTACATTGAGATGGAATAAAACCGCGTGGGTAACCGCAATTCGGCTCGTTTCTACGAAAGTGGGGGAAAACATTCAGCGTACCTAATCCAACATTGGAAACACGAAGACCGCTTTTGCCCAAGTTGCGGTAGCGAATACCTGGCGAAGGATGCTGTAAGCGTTGCGCTTGTGCGGCAATGCAGTTAGTCAGTAGCTGTTCCTTCGTTCCAGCGGTATTGCTGCAATGTACACCGGAGTCCACAGCACCGCCACCGCCGCCACCACCGCCTCCACCACCGCCGCCGCCGCCGTTGAACTCTTCCATGCAATCCAAACTCGCTATAGGTGCACGGCAGCTGCGCGTATAAAGTATACAGAGTTGGTATTAATAAGACACGATCGATCGAATGTTCGATACAACCGCGTAAACATTTGCAACTGAACATTCATAACCGCGTCATTTCCCGTCAAACTTTATTCGCTCGGAAAAATTCGAAAAGAGGTACCGGTGGCTAGAAATTGGGAGAGAACGCTCGAAACGCTGTGTTACGTGTATCCTTGTTGCTATGCATCTATATCATCGTATATATATATATATATATACACGAGTCGATTTCATATTGCCCATACGAGCTAGCTTTACCGCGTTTCGAGTGCTTTGGAAATTCTCCGTCACGTAATATGTGTGTGTGTGTGTATGTGTGTGTGTCTGTGTGTACGTGTGTGTGCGTGGAGAGCTCAAAAGACAATCAGCGTAAGTCATTTTCTATTAAAGATCATCTTTCTTGTCAAAATCTTCAGTTCACGGAGCAGATTGGTTACAATTATAATAATTACATTAGAACGAGTAAACTGCTCCGTCGATTGACGATTTTAACAACAAAGAGATATTTGCATCGCGTGGTACGGTTCTAATGAAAAGTGACTTGCACCCACGAATTGGCCCCTGAATTCTCCATGTATCTTCTTCTAACACGTTTCGAAGAACAAAGGAAACACGTTGAAAACACTCAATCGTCGTTATCGTTACGTGTGTATGTCCGTGTATACGTGTGTGTTTAACGTACGATGCAGAAACAAATAAGTAATATTTAACGAGACGTTTCACCGTAGCAGTTGGGTCTTTTAAAACCTCCGAAACTAGTGGTTGACTGGTCGAGAATATCGTTTCTTAGACTTGTGTATAATCGCATTATGGAGTTTGTTCGTGTATGCATATGGATTCAGTATGAAAAGTAGGGGAAAACGAGAGAAAAAAGAAGGAAAAAAAAAAAGAAACGAACGCGGCACAGATAGAAGAAGGTGCGAAGAAGTGCGAGAAGAAACGGTACATTATCGATTAAGAATTCACTCACCGATAAATAGTAGGCAGTGGATAGTAGTCATCATCCTCCATACTACTATTCGTATTCGCATTGTTATTCGTATCATTTCCCGCCGTGGACGTATTGCCGAGATTACACAACATTAAACGAGACATTGCTGTAATGTATGTATATGTGTGTATGTGTGTGTGTGTGTGTGTGTGTGTGTGTGCGTGTGCGTGATAGAAGCGGAAGATGTTTGAAGAGAACGGAAATTGCGAAAAGACGTAAAGAGAAGGCGGAAAGATTCAATCTAGATCGAACGAATGCGAGTTTGTTTGTTCGTTCGAGCTCCAAAGAGAAGTGGAAGTAATTTTTTTTATGGTTAACTTCATGCGTCCCTTTCAAATTCGATATTAATTTTCGCTCGACGAGAAGGAAATCGACGGGATCGGCATTATATATCGTCTCCTAATTCCAGTGATTCGAAAGACTCTTTGTCTCTTTCCTTTCTTCTTTGTTTCTCTTTTTCCGTTTCGGAGGTAAAAGTGTAATATTTTGATTATGAGCGTGAAAGATTCTAACGGAGAACGGAGAATCGAGATAGATCGAGTATCTCGAGCATCACTGTATCACTGATCCATGATTCGGCTGATCGGACGATCCGAATCGTCGTTCGATTCAAGTCTGTCTATATTTTCAAGTCACAGCATTTGATAATATGTATCTTTATTGCGCATATACGTTATATAGGCACTAGTTTTGTTGTTTTTTTTTTTTTTTTTTTTTTTTTTTTTTTCTTTACTTAAGTTATTTAGGCACCACAGTAAAGAACGTGAGTAGGTACTGTCCGCAACTAGTACATGATATCGGAACGTTCTGCGAAAAACCTTCCTTCGTGGTTTTATCTGGTTCGATCACAATATCGTTCGAACACTATATGACACGGAATATTTATTTTAAAAGCTACACGTCGTTACGTAAAAACGAACGGTGGTCGATATGAGTATCGATATGTGGTACGATTGCTGGCGTGGTGAGAGAGGTAGGGCGCGATGATTATTCCAGACCGGGCACTAACAACGCCGGGCACTAAAAATCCACTTTTCCCTGCGGATTATCCAACTGGTCCAACTGGTAACTTTATAATACATCAGAGTTGATATAACGTTAATAGAACAACATCTCATTCGGCGGCTTCGATCTCATTCTCTGTCATAATACGGTACATGATTCCGTATGTTGCATCGGACTCTGCTTTCCATTTCTGCGACACGTCTTGCCGATTTCGTGTCTCGATCCTTGATGGTGGCCAATCTCGATCTAATTTTCGATCCCGAGACTCTCTCTCCCTTTCTTTCTCTCTCTCACTCTATTTCTCTCTCGCTCGCTCGCACTCTCTCTTACTCTCATTTATAAGTCGTGCGCCAATCCCCAGATCAATCTTCGTTGTCAGTCACATGTGGATAAAAACATTCGGCGCCAACACTTTATCTTTTACGATCCTCCCGTCTTACGGTTGCTCTCTCTCTCTCTCTCTCTCTTTCTCTCTCTCTCTCGCTCTCGCTCTCTCTCCCTCTCGCTCTCGCTCTCTCTCTCTCGCTCTCGCTCTCTTCCTTTCAAATGGAACTTGCCTTTCGCAATGTTTCTGCCGAAATAGCTCTTCTGTCTTGGAACAATCGATCTTAACGGTGTTGCGATTTTAACGGTGTGTTGAATGTTTGGTGAAACATTTGTTGAGAGAAGAGCAATTAAATAGAAGAGAACGTCGGAGAACTGAAAACACCGAAACGTAGAACAAAAAATTTTGTGAAAATGTTAGGATTACTATTGTAGAGACGGCGAGTGTTATGCCTCCTACGTGGTAAGCAACACTGCACAACTTCGATACACTGCGACTCCCTCCTTTAACAGCAGAAGCAACGAGCGTGCGTGCGGTCCCGTCTCTGTTCCGCTACGGGCACCGTCGCCGCTTAATGCGCGTGTGCGCTCGTGCCCGCGCTCGCGCACCACTCGTGGCTACCACGCCGCGTACACCTATAACACCCCCTACCCTCGTTCCTCCTCGTCTCCTCTCACAGGGGGTTGCGGTTGTTTTCAGAGCGCATGACGTTACCGTCGTCGCATTCAACGCATTCAGCGCATTCGCCGCATTTGCCGCATCGAGCCTCTCTTGGAATTATATCTTTCGCTCGCCTACCCTTTGCCCCATGCCCCGGACTCGGATCGTTTAACCCCTTGGCTCTATTCTTCGTCTTCTTCGTCTTCGTCTTCTTCTCTGAATCATCCCCTAACTTTCCCTTACTTTCGTCTTCTCTTTCCTCTCTCTTTAATTTCACTCGGAAACCGATTGATTCGTCGTTCCTCCCTCCCTCCTTCCTTCCCTCCCTCCCTCTCCCTCTTTTTCTATCCGTTCGAACACGCTCGAAGTTTAAATCCTTGCTGTCAGACGCACTGGCTCGAGATCTCGTTTGCTCCCTTTTACTTTTGATTACAGAACGAGCGAGCTCGTTTCGATGGAAACTACGCGAAACGTATTCAGCTAACGCGGACGTATGTACGTACACATGTATGTACGTATGTATGTATGTATGTACGTACGTGCAGTGAGTGTGAAGTCAAACGAGTCGGAACGATGCGTAAAATGCCCGAGCGATCGAGTTAATCGTCCGATCGGTTATTAAGCATACCAGACGGAGGAATTCATCGGTGGAAAATGTAACGGTATCTGTCCCTGCGACAACGCCGCATTGCAGATCCGGCGTGGTGACGTGCAGCTGACCCCTTCCTGAACCGTTTATGGTCGCCCACGTTGTTCGACCTACCGACCTAATACGCGCTCGACCTACTGCCATCCAACACGGCAGGGATCCACTGTTTCGTTCTCTTGCGTTTCACCTTTTGTTTCACATGTTTGGTGCACGCGTCGCCGTACGTGCGTGCGTGCGTGCATCTGCACGAACGCGCATGCATCGTTGAAACGGAGCATCGCGCCCGCTCTCTGCGAACGACACGACATTCATCCGAAGCTTTCACAGCGCGGATCCTGCTTTCTTCCTTTGTACGCGTTTGATCGACTAGCGAAAGACGCGCCAGACTCGAAAACGTGCGTGTCACGCGAATCTTTCGAGAGAAACGAGAGCAAGATCTTTGGGGGGAGGGGGAAAGCGCAAAGCAATCTTTATCGTTCGACTTACCTGTCAAAATTCTGCTACGTGTTCCGACGTGTTACTGCTCCTTGCTGAAACGAATCTGCGCCGCGTGACGGTCGTGTGCTCTTCTCGGATTCGCAGATCGACTCCTTCGTTGAAATCGTGCCAAAGGTCTCGGAAACATTGATTACAATCGCCAGCACACGAATACACGTCGTTACAACCGCGGCGAGTAACAACGTTGTAACTTTTGTCAATTGTCGATGCGCGAATTATCTGGCCAAAACGATTCGCCAGTTCGAATTGTTCGGCGATCGGCAAAAATCGGCGGTGAACAATCGAGCACCGGTTTTCTTTTCTTTTTTTTTTTTTTTTTTTTTTTTTCCCCCCGGGGAAAATTTTTTAAATTTT